CTCTCTCTCTCTCTCTCTCTCTCTCTCTCTCTCTCTCTCTTCAATTTCTCGCCCGATTACTCATACGTATATATCTGCCGCTTTCTCTGTTTCTCGTTCTCTCTCCCTTCTCTCTGTTGGAGAGAAAAATGTATTTATATACATAAATCTTTTACCTTCACTTCGGTTATTCTAAATTGCATCTGCTTTACGTCGATAGACGAGCGTATTTCAGCTCTCGTTCGTAAATCTCCGAATTTCTAGCGCGTTACACATATTAACTTTGTGTCGATGCATGCATCCTCTAATGCATTTCTCGACTGTAATCGCTCATGCGTTGTGCGACACGATAGAGTGTCATATTTTCATTTATTACTTGTTTATTCGCTATTTTTTTTCTCTGTTCGGTCCGGTTCGGATTTAGTGTCGTTTACAGTGCGCGAGGGGATTTTTCAAAACGAGGCCTCGACGAGGTAAGTGCCATCCATGGCGACCCCCGTCTGCCCACCCTGGGCCTCGGATACTTGGGCCCTTGTAGCCGGGATGTACTGACTGTACGCCTGCTGAAATCCACAACCACAAGCACACACTACATTGTTGCACGCTAGGTACGCCTACGCTAATGCTTTCTACGGACTTCTTCCCTAAACTTCCATCTACTCTCACGATCGATGTATGTGTGTGTGTGGATGGATGTGGTAATGAAGCTTTAATAATAAAAATCTACCGCGCCATGTTCTTCCCCACAATACTATATATTTCTTAAATTTTATTCGCACCGTGAACCTTTCGTAAATAATTTTTGTTTAGTTAAAAAGCAATTAGAGACTCTTTAGTACGTTGAGCTAATATAAATTATCGATATCACACATAAGCCTCCGAAATTCGTTGTTACTTCCTGGTAAAATACAGATAAATATGCAAAAAATAACACTAAAATATGTGAAAAATTAACTCAAAAAGTATGACCGTGACATAATTTGGAAACAAATTGTGAAAACATATTTCTTCAATAAAATAAATGTTTATAATATGTTAAATCAGCACGTACATCTTATTAATTTATCTCAGAATTTACGTTTTAAAATACATTATTTTTATATTGTTTGTTTATTTACTCATAAATTATATTATTTTAACAATAAAAAATGTTAAATATCAATTTAACACAAAATATTCAAATAATATTATCACATTATGTTAAATTAACAATCGGTTATGTTAAAAATTATATACAAAAATTTTAACAAAGCCCGATTTTAATTGAAACAGTTTTTCACTATGTAATAGCAAACAATTGCAAGTATATCATTGAAAATTTACTTTTACTTGAGAGGAAAAACACTCTTATCCATAAAGCATTGTTACATTTAAATAAGAATGAAGAATATTATTAGAAGATACTTCTTCCGTACTCATTGCAATTTCTGTTTTCTAAAAATTTTCATTATTACCAATCTCAACAATATATAAGTTTTACTATATTATATTCATGACAATAAATCACAATGAATATATTATAAACTCATCTATATATACGTACGCGCAAGCAGTAATATATATTTTAATATTTCACGACTCTTTCATTTTCCTTGCTCAACCTTTCGATGCGCGTAATAAAATCTGATTTAAACCATTTTCGAAGGAACATATATACCGTATTACTGACCATAAAAACCGATGGGCTTCATAGCGTTTCGACTGATCCAATAACCCCGGGAAAGCCTGCAAATTGACGAAGTGACGCGCACACCGCGCGCATCACCGACAAAAACGAATTAACTCACAAACGTCGATGCGGTACATCCCCTCAAAGGGTCAAATAATTCGAATTCGAGCCCAAATGCATGCGCGAAGGCGCACGAGCGACGATTTCGTATTCAAGCGAATCGCACGTTTTCCGCGTAAAATCAGCAAAGCGGAAAACTAATGAGCCCCTGCAGACAATGTGATTTTCGGCGCAATTATTTCCCGTCAAATTGCTATCGCGATAACCGGGTGTTCCAGCACGAGAGAATAAAACCACGCACGTTCACATATTTTCTTGAATTCAAGAGATTAGGTTTCATTACGAAATTCAAGATTACCTACGAAAAACAGTAAGTAAGATAGAGATTAATTAATTAATAATTATGCACATATAAATATTAATACATACATTTATACAAAGTGCTCTGAAAATAAGAAAGGTGCACATATTGAATACACCTTGTGCTACCAACGAAACGATCAATGATAGACAAAAGACGAAGTCGGGAAATAAAGAGAGACGATCTGTACATTATTAATTCTTACCTTACAATAAGAAGAAATATTTTATCTACAAAACATTTCACAAATGTATGTTTATGATACAAAATACATAAACAATCATTAGATGTATACACATGTGAATTACCGTTTGCTGTATCCAAACACAATTTGAGCTCCAATCAAATAATCACGTTTGGAAAAAGCAATTACAATGCACATTGACAATTATTTTCGAAATGCATTACATTTTGAAAATAATTTTCAATGTTTATTAAGTTATATGCTTCCAATAAAAAGTAACAGTAATAATTGGAAACGTGTTGCAAATACAAAGAGACACTGAAAAACGTGGTGTTAGGAAACCGTCGCGTTAATAAAAGTCGAAAATACAATTTCGTTCGTGTTTCCAATCGTCATTAGTGTCAAATATAAAAAAAAGATTTTACGTTTTTGAAAATTTTGACGCTGCCAATTTCGCGTTGCCTGGTTCAGACCTGACAATCGTGCGAATTTTTTATAATGATCGATTGATATTGTAACGCGATGCTGTCATAGTATTTATAGTCGATCATCGTACCTGTTAGGCGCCAATTAATCAATCAATGCGAATTAACGGCAAAATCATAACTTGAATAGACGCGATGGAGAATCTTTGCAAGTTATTAACGAAGAGGAAAGCGCTCGATTTCCACATCGATTAATCATCCGGCCAACTGTAATCGACACGGCTTGACAGGATAACGAATAATACCTAATTAATCTTGCTCACTGTGACGGGATAAGATTTCAAACCGGAAAGAAGCGGTTGATATAGAGTATATATACATATACACAGGTATAGTTATACATATACATAAGGCGATTATACAGAATGTCGCAAAATCGGTATTAACTGAGCGAGAAAGTGGTTGATTGCAAAGAAATAACTCGAGGTTGTAAAGTAACCATCTAACTAATATACTGCAGTGTATAGTGCGCATCGTGGAAAGAAACCTAAATTTCTAAAATTAATACGCGACAGTAAATCCGAATATGTTTAACCAGCGAATGGAAGTAACTCGTTACTTGTAACGAAGTTACAGTTACAAGTTACTTTTTTGGTAACTTCACTGGTAACTGCGTTACTTTTTTTTTAGTGTAATGGTAACGTAATTACATTTTTTTTTGATAACGATAATAAATTTTACAGTTATTTTTGCCGTTACTTTGCACATAATTGGACACAGTTTGATTGGACACTCATAGCTACTCATAGCGCTTGAGACTAGAAAGCCTCTAGGCATCCATCCGCTGTGATTGCTGATCGTCGATTTTAAAAAAGTAATGGAAAAGTAACGAAAAGTTACAGTTTCTCAAATAACGGTAACTATAACGAGTTACTTTAAAAAATCAGTAACTAGTATATATATATATATATATAACGGTAACACGTTACTTTTTCTGCTCGATAATGAATAACTGTAACTTTAAAAGTAACTTTCCATTCCCTGCGTTTAATCTATAGAAAATAATCGTAAAACCGCAAAATAAAAAGAAAATTATTATAAAAAAGAAAAAGTCTCCCAAAAATATTTACAATTTTGCAATACTATGCGACGATCTATATAATCATGTTATATCTGATGCGTTTAATATAATTGTAACTAGAAATACTAGAGATAGAAATGAGCAAAACGTAACGCGCACATAAATACTATCTTTGACGTTTATGTGAAATAATAACAATTCTGCGATTGAACATGCAATTACAGGGCCAAAGATATTTGGTACGATATATATGTACAGGCTGGCGATTGTTCGCACAACAACGTAAATTCAGGGTCGTAATCATACATTACGCGATTATATGTGTTGCATATAAATTAAATGATATGTAATTGATATATAGGGGAAGAAATTCGACACGCTCGAGCGAATATTTTTAACCAAACATATTTAATAACGCTCGATGATAATCTCAATGCAGCTCCAAATAATAGGATAGATCTTAAATTAATTAACTTCGTAACAGATATCAATCAAGGCAAAAATATCCATCAGATTTAATATACCTCAAACTTATTATATCACATTGTACACATTATTAAAAAAAACTTATATATAACACTATTAAAAACATCATTTTCAAATTTAAAAAAGACTATACAGTTTATTACTTGGTAATTCGTTCAAAGTTTTGGAGCAAAGAATAATATTAAATTAAAAATACTCAATCGAGCGTGCTAGACTCTGTCGTCATACGATTAACAATTAATAGTAATAGAGTCTGCCGGAGACGAAGATAAAAAAGAGACCGTGCTCGTTACTGGGTCAACGACGAATAGTGGATTGACGGAGCTTTTTAGAACGTACACTTAAGATTCAATTTTGTCTTGCCTGGCTGATCTGAAGTGGATGCTCCACTACAGGCTCCCGCTGTTCCTTCGGCTATGCATTATTCATAAAAGCAACTCGTGTTACATTATAGCGTGCATAATACGCTGGTTAATCTGACGCGACGTCATCGCCAACGTCCACGCGAGTTCTGATGACTTTTTGAGCGGAACGGAAGTAGAAAAGTATAAATATTAATGCGCGAATCTCGTGATACGATCTATTAACTTCCGAATGTCTTCATAAAAAGTGATAGTCGCCTGCGGTGATCATGATTAATTGCGTGGAGTAAAGGATCGAAAATCACGTGATAACGATACTGCGTTACCTATGTTACAACGTCACGATAAGACCGATGTTGAAGACCGGTAAATCTGTCGCGTCAAATTTTTTGTCGACTTTGAATCTTCATTTTCCGGTTTGACGATATTTGTACGTGTCGAATTTTTGCGAGAAAAGCTTAATTGAATTCCCATACCCGCAAACACAAGAAATTTTCATGAAGATTCGAATTTATTTCTGGTAAAATCTCCCTTTCGAAGTTATATAAAAATTATTTTCATGTCTTGTCCTTATATTAGAAATACTTTGTTTTTTTATAGAAATTCCTTCATTTAATACTTTTCGACTTGATTTCTTTACGCTCTTTTATATTTTTTTAACGGATTGCATCTAAATTATATAAAATTTATTTCTACTTATTTATGTAATATTACATATTTTTTTACAATAAAACATGGAAAAAATTAATAATAATTGCGTAATTAATCAATGTTTTCAATAGTAATAAGTATTATAATGTCTTTATGATCTCTATTTACGCCTTAGAGTGAAATATCATTGTTTTCATGCAAAAAATTTTTAAAAATTCATAAAGCAAATAACTTCAAATTTTTGCATTATTTATACAAGCATAGATTGAAGCAATTGTAAATTT